TATATATATACATACACTTTTTTGCTGTGTTTTGGTTTTCTTCATTTTTGCAGGTGTGCAGACAGATGTCAGGTGTGTAGTCTTGTGTTTTCTTGATATATATTTCACATATCTTCTAATCTCTCTTTCAGTCTTATCCATTATATTTCTTGTTTTTCATCTCTTTTCTCTTTCTTTTTCTTCTTTTCCATACCATTTTTTAAAAGTCACCGATGATGACGAAACTAACATTCAGTTCTGTTTTCTACTGAAGTGGCTTAAAAAAAAAAGAAAAAAAAAAAGAAAACCTGTTCCAAGCCTAAAGTTTCATGCACACATTTGTTTTCATGCAGAATAGAGAGGAGTAAAAACTCTCCAAGTCCTTACGTTACAATTCTGTCCCATGGTGCGGTCAGCTGGCTGAACGAGGAGGTGGTCGTCGCCAACTGTAAGATGCGTGTTTACAGATTCCCCTTTGACATCCAGAGCTGCACCATCACCTTCAAGTCCCAATCCTATGACGGTGAGTTCTGGTTTTAACAGCTTGTGAACCTCAGAAATAAACACAATAATATTCACATGTGAAAAACATGATTACATGGTGCCATGGCAGAGAGATCCATTTTTTTAAACTTTAAAAGTATGTTTTAATAAATGTTGGCTATTAGTTTTGTGGGAGTTATAAATTAGAGCTTTGGATCGAAGCACTGCTATAAAACCTAACTTTTAACTTTCTTTTTCCTTTCTAACACCAGATAATGAGCTACAGATTGCTGATCGCAAAAAAACAAATGAGACTGAAAATCAGTTCCAGACCCAAGATGAGTGGGTGTTGAAGAACTTCACGTGGAACAAAGGAACTGCTGAAAATGTAAAGAAGCAAACAACGCTCATTTTCACTGTAGGTATTCCTTACTGCTCAAACACTCTGACATGAATTTATTTTCATGTTGTTTCTGCTTCTCATTTAAAATCTTTCCACTGCTTAATCACTTACAAGATTCTGGACAAAGAAATAAAACTGAAGTAGATAGAAACAATCACAGTTGAAGTCCGTCACTCTGGGGGAACATCAATGTTCTGCTTGTCTTTATCTGCAACAAAAAGACTCACAGGGTTTCACAGGCCAGGTCCAACATGGGTGATGGGGGTGGGAGGGAATTAAGCCCTTGTTGAAACATCATCCTTGGGGAGTTTAAATAGCAAGGCAGTCAAGGCCATGCTGCTGGGAGCCAATAGATAAACACAATTGTTTTGGAACAAAGCAGCCTTGAGTTTCCTGCTGCTTTTTAATGTCAACTGTATCTCTGAAATGGTGGGAAAAAAATCCAATCAGTCGAATTCTGAGTCCTCTCGCCTCTCACTGTCTGGAGCTTCACCCAGATGTGATCCTACATGCCCGAGGCTCGCTCCTTAGATGCAATTCTCATCAGAACCACATCCAGTTTGTGATTTATCTCTCCCAGCATCTGAACTTGTGTGCTCCCAGCCCGGCAGAAACCTTCCAATGCGCCCGACAGCTTCTCAATGGTCCGGATCGCGGTCAAGGTCGCTTTCACTTTTCGATAGACCAGGAATCCTCCTCCTCCGATCAGCAGGAATCCAGTTATCATAAATCCAAATATGTACAAATCTTTCACGTCTTCAATGGTGCCAGACACATCAGATCCCAGCTTCCCCAAGAACTACTGATACACCCAGCAGCAACCGTTCCACTCAGACAGCTTTGTTCCCCTTGTTCTAATCTTAATGTGGTTTAGAACCAATAAATGTGTGTTTGACATCCAGTGGATGTTATTTTGAAACAAAAGCTGAACATTTTTTCTCTCTCTGATCAGGCTGAGAGTTGCATAAGTAGTGATTTTCAAGTCTTGGATGGTTCAAACCAGCAGCACAATAGACTGGATACTTCTGTTTATCACTGCAGTAACTCAAGCCCTAAGCTGCTCACATAATCATCTATATCATATCGACCCATCAAGTCATTAAATACATGGATGTGGATTTAAGTTGTGGAATAATTTGTTATAAATCAGATAAAAATTTAATCTGATCGTTTCCACAGATCACAATGCAGAGGTGGTCCGCTCTCTACATCGCCAACTTCCTGTTTCCCGTCCTCTTCTTCTTGAGTCTGGACTTGGCCTCCTTCCTGATTTCAGACACTGGAGGACAGAAGCTCGGCTTCAAGATCACTGTGCTGCTCGCCGTCACGGTGATGCAGCTTCTTCTCAACGAAATTCTGCCCGGCTCATCCGACAAGATCCCTCTCATAGGTAAGAATCTTCACTTTATTCCACTCTGAGCTCCACGCTGACGTTCATGACCCTGCCCGTCTCCACCTCAGCCATCTTCTGCATTGGGATTTTCACACTGATGCTGCTCAGCGTGCTGGAGACCATTCTGGTGATGAATCTGATCGACAGAGACGCCTCATCACAAGAGGAGACGGAACAAAATATGAAGAAGAAACGAGGTATTAAACAACAAAAACAACCTGTAGAGCTGATTTAATGGAGATAAACAGATACTATAAATCATTCCAAGGTATTATTCTGACATACGGTAGATGCATTTAGTTTTGGAGTGAGGATCCGTCTAAATTAGGACTGAGATTCTGAGGTAAAGACCAAATCTCTGAAATCTCACTTGTTTAATTATTTTTAACCTCTCATTCATGGTTTGAACGAGTCTTTGGAAAAAAACTGATAAGTTCAGAGTGTAAAACTCTGAGAAGAAACCTGTCTCCTTAATAACATCCTTCTTTAGTATAACACAAGAACACCTCTTTATTTGTGATTTATAAACACTCACAGTTACAGCTTTTACGTTATAATTTATCTCATCTTTGAATATATTTGCTCTGATTTTTCCTAAAAGAAAACAAACTGTTCTGCTTCGGTTCATCCAAGGATGATGATTCGGCTGGGAAAACACCGTTTGTGATCAATGAGGTAAAGGTTGTTACACTTCCACCTACATATGAAAGAATAAAATATAAAAATGTTGACAGGAATTCAGTTCATGGTTCACGTTAGAAGAGAGCAGCCAGCAGCTAACGGCTCAGAGGGTTTTATATGCCTGTTGCTAACCTGTCTGATGGATCTGATTTACAGCTCTTCAGAGACGAACAGGCAGAAGAGTCCATCAATCTGAAAATGGTCTTAGAAGAGCTGAAAGAAGTTCTCCTCAACCACAGGAAGGACGAGGAGAAGGAAGGCTACTGGACCAAAATGGCTAAAAGGATCGACAAGATTTTCACTGCGTTTTATTTTTCATCAGTCGTTCTGTTTTTACTNTACGAAAACATTGGTGAATGCCACAAATTCTCCTAAATCATTCGTACGCACAACTTAAGAACAAATCTGTGCGTACGAACGGTTCTTGCATGAGGCCCATTGAGACCAGCAGAGGTTCAGTGCTGCTGACCCCTCAGTCTGTGGGAACACTGGTATTTTTTCAATCTCACTCACATTGGGATTCAAAAAGCTTTGTTTCAAACCAATTAAATTCAGTGTGTGTTGCTGACGAGCCAGCTTCTTTCAGCCACGCCTGTTAAAGCCGTGCCACACTGTGGCAATTTAGCCTACTTATGCAAACTTATGGAAATTTTATGACTAAATTACTTCTATAGGTCATATTTTTAATGACCTCGTTGGCAGTACAGTGTGTATACGTCCAAATAAGGCTTCCAGTAGATTCTTTTAAATTCCATCTTCAGTGTTTTTGTTTTTGGGATAAAAAAATGTCATAAGTCGTCATTAACCTTATAGTGAGACAGGAACTTTACTGGCTGCTCTTCCAGTTTAGGTCAGCACACTTGCTGGTAAATAATTTAATAACCTGAAGATTAGTTCCTTATAATTCTGTTCAGATTTTATAGCCAGAACAATGCATCAGGATCTTTTTAAAGTCCCTTACACACCATGTATTTACTTTTTTTATTCTTATGGAGATAAAACGTTTATGAGCTATTTTTTCCTTTGATTACCTCATTACTATTATAACCATATGACTATTATAATTATCTGTTTTTACTGTTTCTTTACCTTCCCTGATGTGTTTGGGTCAAAATGATCCAGTTTTAAAATTGAGGCCTTGTGTAAGGGTTTAGCAGTGGTTTGTCCCAGGAAGCAAAGCTCAAGGTCCAAAAAAATATCTAATTACAAAAACAAATGGTGACGAGGCAGACAAAACGTACTTACAGCAAACACAGAGGAACGTGAAGAGCAAACCTAAACTGACTCGAGGACGTACAAGGAACAGAATAAAAAGGTGAGAGATTACAACTGGAAACACCTGGAAGACACCTGAGAGCAGGTGCACATGAGAGGAGCTGAGGAAGAACACGTAGGCAGGTGTACAGAGGAAACCACGGAAATAAACACTTCACAGATGAAAACAAACAGATCCTTACGTCCATCGTTTTGATTCAAGAGCAGCAGCTGAGCTGAGATGAAAGTTGATAGACGAGTGATGTGGTCCGTACGTCCTGGAGTCCAGATGATTTTAACTGTTTGAAGGGATCCATGATTAGTTGTAACATTAGACTTTATTTGATAAACATATACAGTATTTAAACTGTAAAATAAAGACTAAAAATACTGCAGGCTTAGATTTGTAAATTTTTAAAAATATATTTTATCACGGACGGGATCATTTTATTCACACACAAAGCATTCTGGGTAAATGATGACGTGGATAGGTCCTCGGTGCGAGGCTGCTAGCGAGCTATATCCACCCTGAAGG